GTAGCAATGAGTGACCGTATGGTAAGGATGGATTTGAGCACACTCATCTTTTTTCCTTTTATTTAATCCTATAGCAATATGAGTCACGATTTTGTTGGTAGCCTATGTGCTTTAGGATGCAGCTCACAACTTGAACTAAGTTTTGTTAACAGGGACCGTGTGGCTATTTTGGTAGCATAACTACCATCTCTAACTGCAACGTACAAAATGCTGTAGCGGTTTAATTTCTTACCATACATTATGTCCTGTGATACCCTACTCTTGTGAGGTAATGCATGCCCATTGACCAAACAGTTTTGTAGTCTATTGTAGTTATTCAGCAAAGCTGCTAGCCTGTTACTGAAGGAACTCTCAGTCGACCGGATATCTACCCAATTGATTACAGATGATGGCCAAGTGGTTTTGTCCGCAAGATGATGTATACATAATTTTTTTGGAAAACCTTAGCTGGATTTAGTTTGAGCAACTGATTAAACTTTTTTTAGCATGTATTTGATTACTATGGTCATGCCTATGTTGCTCTCATACATTTGCATTTTGTATTCAGATTGATCTCGTTGAACTGCATACCTTACATATTTTATGTTCACCAAGCAGGACTTAATTATTGGTAGACCCGAAGCTGTGTATTTCTATGAAGTCAATGGTAGAGGCCCTTGCTGGGCATTTGATGGTGAGAAAAAGTTTGTAGGTTGGTTTCGAGGCTATTTACTCTGCATTATTGAAGATGAGAGGACACAGAAGAGCACTCTTAATGTTTATGATCTTAAGAATCGGTTGATTGCACATAGCATGCCTGTGGGGGATGTTTCACACTTGGTATGTGAGTGGGGTTATATTATTCTCGTAATGGCGGACAAAAAGATTCTGTGCATTGGAGAGAAAGACATGGAAAGTAAGCTTGATATGTTGTTCAAGAAAAATCTTTATACAGTTGCAATTAATCTTGTACAAAGTCAGCAGGCTGATCCTGCTTCCACTGCTGAGGTGCTGCGGAAGTATGGTGACCATCTGTATGGAAAACAGGAATATGATGAGGCTATGTCCCAGTATATCCACACTATTGGTCATCTCGAACCATCGTATGTTATACAGAAGTTCCTTGATGCAAAGCGCATCTACAACCTGACAAATTATTTAGAGAAGTTACATGATCGAGGGTTAGCATCCAAAGACCACACCACCCTTCTGTTGAACTGCTATACCAAATTGAAAGATGTGGAGAAACTTAACCATTTCATCAAAGATGAAGATGGGGTAGGTGAAATCAAGTTTGATGTGGAAACTGCCATAAGAGTATGCCGCGCAGCTGGATATCATGAACATGCTATGTTTGTGGCAAAAAAGGCTGGGAGGCATGAGTTGTACTTGAAGATTTTACTTGAGGATCTTGGTAGATATGACGAGGCACTGCAATATATATCTGGCCTCGAGGCAAATCAAGCAGGTCTTACTGTAAAAGAATACGGGAAAATTCTTGTGGAACATAGACCTGCTGAAACAGTTGAAATACTGTTAAGGCTCTGTACAGATGTTGGAGATCCTACCACAAGAAGAGGTTCAAACAGTATGCACTTGCTTATGATACCATCCCCAATGGACTTTGTGAATATATTTGTGCACAGCCCACAATATCTGATGGAATTTCTGGAAAATTATATCAAAGCAGTGACGGACTCACCTGCGCAAACAGAAATTCATAACACCCTTCTGGAGCTCTATATTTCAAATGATTTGAGCTTCCCATCTCTCTCTCAAGAAAATGAATCTGAGAATCAGTATATCAAAGAAACAAAAGGTAAAGAAACTGCTAATGGCTATAGGTCAGGAATAAAGGAAAAAGGTAGTCTTGGAAAAGAAGATCCTAAAATCGCAAAGAATATTGTTGATAGGAGAAGGAAAGGGCTTGCGTTACTCAAGTCTGCTTGGACATCTGAGATGGAAGATCCTTTGTATGATGTTGATCTTGCTCTCATTCTTTGTAATACTAATGCATTCAAAGATGGGTTGCTCTTTCTATATGAGAAACTAAAACTTTACAAAGAGGTTATTAGTTGTTACAAGCAAGCACATGATCATCAAGGTTTAATTGCATGTTGCAAGAAGTTGGGGGACTCATCTCAAGGAGGAGATCCTTCTCTGTGGGGTGACCTATTGAAGTATTTTGGGGAGCTTGGGGAAGATTGCTCTAAAGAAGTTAAAGAGGTCTTGACCTACATTGAGAAGGAGGATGCTGTGCCTCCCATCGTTGTGCTACAGACACTATCAAAAAACCCATGCTTGACACTCTCAGTTGTCAAAGACTACATTGCTCGCAAACTTGAGCAAGAATCAAAGCTAATTGAAGATAATAGAAAATCCATTGATAAGTATCAGGTTAGTAACTTGGAAGTCATTGCAGTATCTATTTCCCATTGCTATTCTTAGTCTTATTTTTTATAATATTTAGGAGTAGGCATTAGCATTGCTTGGTTCATTGACAAATAGAAGATGAAAAAAGTAATACTTTCAGTTTAAAATTAGTACTTGGGAAATTGGTGTTGAGCTGTTTGTTTTAGCAAATTACACGATGCTTGTTATGAGATGATACTGCTTCAGATATAGTTCTTTAAATACCTACCCCCCCCCCAACCCACACACACACACCTCCTTGTACCCCTAAATCGTGAATTACCAAACATTGCGGCTGGAGGTAGCACAGCATCCAGCAGTTATTCTCAGTTTACTACCAGGTCCCTTTACATGTGATGAACCCATGTATGGAGGCACCTGAATATATTTCTGCACTAACTGGGTTTTCCTTTGATAGGAAAAGGGTTTGTATTGCATAACATGCCCTATTGTGAATGTTATTTAAGATAGTTTTAGTTTTTTCACTTTTATTTAATCATGCATCATAATATGATTAGCTAACTGTTCATACTTTTTTTAGGACTCTGCCATTTTTTTAATATGCTAATTACTCTCATGTCAAGAGCGGTTAGGTTAATATGGACAAATATTGTAGAATAGCTTGTTTGGTGGAGCTTCCAGTTGATATGCTGCCCACTTAGGCTCGAACAAGGGTTCTAGGCTACTAGGAAATTGTGTCTACCTAGAGGGTCTTGTACTCCTCTTTCCCAAGATAGGCAGGGAGTTCTCACTGTGGAGCATGTCAGTATGACATTGAAATAAGAATATCTGATTACATTTTGTTTCCGTGGTAGCAATGAAATTCTTGAAGTTAACAATTATCAATACTAGAGTTTCACTTGAATAGAATAATGCTCTATTGGTAATGCAAATTGATCATGTCTATAAATTGACATTCCTATAACAAGCACACTCACAAGAATATCCTTTTCTATTTCTTGTGTATAAAAGAGTGCACATCATAACCTTTCTTAGATGTAGCATGATTTACGAGCGGATGTTTGAAATTTTAGTAAGAATGAGTCTACATCAATTGAGATAAGGAACATGCTGTGAAACAATACCATTTTTTTTCAGGGGGAGACAGAGCTGATGAAAAGGGAGATAGAAGATCTCAAGACAAACGCGAAGGTTTTCCAACTGAGCAAGTGTAGTGCGTGCACTTTCACCCTTGATCTGCCTGCTGTCCATTTCATGTGCATGCACTCGTTCCACCTGCGCTGCCTAGGTGACAATGAAAAAGAATGCCCAGAATGTGCACCTGAATATAGATCTGTTATGGAGGCAAAGCAGAAGCTAGAACAAAATGCTAGGGACCATGACCTATTTTTCAGGCAATTGAGGGGTTCGAAGGACGGCTTTTCTGTCATTGCAGACTATTTTAGCAAGGGCATAGTGAGCAAGACAACGGTACCTCCTGAGAATGGACGGTAGGGAAGGACCACTGGTACTCCGTTGCCGCCTTGTACAGCATTTATACGGTGTTATTTCCCTTTCTTCACAGTTGATGATATGTGTGTGTTTCTGCGTTCATCAATTATAGCAGGAAGTACATATAGCAAGCTTCTTTCATGCACTGGGTTATGTTATCTGGCCTGTTTCATCCATGGCGTGAAGTGTTTAAAAAAAAATAGATTTGGCATTGTAAATACTCATTTCCGGCAGTCCCTTTGTCAAGCCCAAATGATTTTGCTTAGACATTGCTGCAGTTTCCAGCATTGAGTTTTGATGTTTGGCTCGTGCCATTCTCTGTTTGAAAGCAGCAGTATTATATGGATCGTGTTTTTGTATGTTTCAGCGTCTATCTGGTTTTGTTGCATGTAATCATGCGTAGTTGCGAACATTGATCCTACTGCTTGGTGCTTGCGACATGCATTTCGCAACCTCTGACAAATTTCTGAGACGCCACTGCTTAATCTTGGGATTAGAATCGTATTTCAGTCTTCCTGGCTTTATTCTTCCATGGCCTTACTGCCATATGTGAACTCTGAACATTCCTGAGTTACTATTTGCAGTTGCACAGCTTGATTGCCCCTGCTACAGAATACAGATTACAGAGTCCGGACCATCTCGGATCAGAGTCGGAGACGAGGGCCGAGGGCGGGCCATGCCATTCCCGATCGAGTCCCCGAACAAAATGTTCTGTCCATCTGGGCATCTGGCAGATCCTGGTCTGGTCGGGTCGGTCGCAACGCCGAGCGAAACGCCGTCGGTTCATGCACGATTGCTGAAGGCCCCAGCAGCCTGCAAGTGCATTCGGCGTCCGCTGCTGATGTCACACACACACACTCAGCGTCACCGGCCCAAGAACTTGCCTTTCCGCGCCGATCGGGCCCGTCCACTGGAGTCCAGCCCAACCAGATCGGACGGCCTGGCCTGCTGGATCCTGGATCCCATCCCGGACCCGGAGGGCTGTGACCGCTCGGCGCCAGCAACAGTGACCTTCCCTCGCTGCCTGCAGGCTGCAGCAGCCCAGGAGTCCAGCGGTCTATGGCGACGACCAACTGACCAAGTGAAGTGGCCGACACCGATCTCTCGCGGTCTCGCAGAGGAGCCGCCGGCTGGACGGGGCCGATCCGGTTCCGGCCATGGCGAAGCCGGCGCGGGCGCGGGCGCCGAGGCCGAAGCCGCCGCAGCAGCGGGCGTCCGCCCGGCGGCTCCTCGGCCTCGGCGGGCTGGGCGTCGCGGCGGCGGCGTACGTGGGCGTGGACTACCTGCGGCACCTCTCGCCGGCGTGGCACGGCCGGCTGCAGCCGGCGCTGTGGGCGGCGCTGGCGCTCGCGGCCGCCGCGCGCGCCCCGTTCTACCGCCACTGGTCCGCGGAGCTGCGCGCCGCGCTGCCCTTCCTGGGATCCATCGCCTTCATGCTCGCCGCCTTCCTCTGCGAGGCCATCTCTGTCCGCTTCGTCTCCGCCGTCATGGGCCTGCACTGGCACAGGTCACTCCTCCTCGTCTTGCCTCGGCTTCTTTCACCTAGTCATGGCTTGTTGCTTTGGGGTTGGGGGATTTAGGAGGCGGCGCGCTGGATCTCTGAGAGGTCTCGACTTTGTGAGCTGCAGATTTATTAGTTTCCGTGCGGTAGGTCGTGCGGAAACGCACGAATTTGGATTTAGTTGTTCATGGAAGGATGGTGTGATCCTACGGTGTTCTCCTTGTATGGGTGAGGTTTATTAGGGGTTTCTGTTGAGTGTGCGAAATTATTGAAGCTTCTAGACTGAGATTTATGCTGCCAAGGAAGACAGCAGCAATTTGGGATGTCCTGTACAATTTCTTTGTCCTACTAGGAAGGAAGAATAAGGGAACCATGTGTTTACCATAACAAACGCTCAAAATATTGCATTTTATTTGCAGCAGGAAGTAGTTCGTGGAGATGAACATATCTGCTATCAGTTAAAACAGAACTTAGTTGATTGGTTGTTGCTATTGACTAGATAGATTAACTTCTGCAACATTGTTAACTGCTTGATAATGTTAACCTTGTGATGCTATCAAGACAATACTTCTACATTTTAATCAATAGGTTAGTGGACTATTTACTTCACAGGTGTTCAATAGTTGCTTCTTTGTTGTTCTGATTCAGTGGTGATTGGCTTTCTAGAGATTGAAGTTCAAGTAAAGCATCAAGGAGAATCTAGAAGTTTAAGGGGGGTAAGGAAAGCATAAGCATCACTTCAGCCTGGGGCATGTAGATTCCTTTAGGCATATGCATCTTCGTCACTCTCAAAATCTAATAAACACAAATGATCTAAACATACATGCACGCAAGAAATTTGGATCAATTTGGATTTTATACGATTCTTAGATTTTAGTTTGTTTGGTCATGGTTTACCTCTGAATACAATCGCACTTGTGATATCTTTTTTGTCACAACCCAACTTCTGTATGAAAGGATTGTGCTGCATCCAGGCAGAGGTTGCCTTTCTATTAGTAAGGAGTAGCACTACTTCATTGCTAACTTCAACATCTCTCCTTGCTTTACTAAACCTTCCCTGAGAAATTTAGTTGTGGGCAATCACCTCCTAATCTGTGTGTAATGCACACATGATTTCAATAAAATCTACACAATCACTTATAAGCTGAAAGTTTTTTTCACTGTTTTTTAACAGAACTGCCGCGCCACTTCCTGACACCGGCCAATGGCTGCTTCTATCATTGAATGAGAAGCTCCCTCAGAGCGTGGTTGATCTACTGAGAGCTCATGTTATCACTCTTCACCACTATCTGATGTTGTTTATCATGCTGGGGTTCTCAGTTCTCTTTGACTGCATCAAAGCTCCTGGTCTTGGTATAGCCACAAGATATATGTTCACTATGGCAATTGGCCGTGTGCTTCGGACGATAACTTTCATTGCTACCATTCTTCCATCTGCAAGACCTTGGTGCGCTGCAGCCCGTTATCAAATACCTCAACATCCTCATCCTTGGGCACAGAAATATTATGTTCCATATGCTTCTGATTCAAATGCCATTCGTAGAGTGATAACGCATGATATGGCATATGGTTAGTTCATTTTTCCTAGCGCCTAATTGGTTCACCTAGCTGGTATATCATTTTGTACAATGGTGGAGCCTAAACTATTCACGTATACTTTTTCAGCTGCTGTTCAAGCTTACCCAGAGGAATATAGACCCGATTGGGGACATATGAGCTTCCTTGTAGACATTTTGAGACCAACTCCTGGAGAAGGGCCTTCATGGTACCATCTTTTGAAGAAAGCTAGTGGCGGTTGCAATGACCTTATGTACAGTGGACATATGCTTGTTGCTGTCCTTACTGCAATGGCGTGGACGGTATATACTGTGGTTTTAATCCGTATATCACAATAGCATTTTTATATGCTCACATGTTGTGCAAAGGGTTCATCATAACTTGTACGACCTTACCTTCGTTTTATCTGTTTCACAGGAAGCATACGGGGGCTGGATCTCTGTTGCAATATGGCTCCTCGTCCTGCACAGCGCACAGAGGGAGGTACGTGAGCGGCACCACTACAGCGTGGACTGTGTTGCTGCAATCTACGTCGGCATCCTCCTGTGGAGGATGACGGGGTTCATCTGGTCTGCCAGAGACCTGACCCGAGCTAGACGGCTAGCCAAGCTTGAGGAGATCCAGAGCAGGCTGGTCCATGCTGCAAAGGACAGTGACATTGATGAGGTCAGGGGCCTGCTTAAGGAGGTGGAGCTAGCCGGCCAGGAGAAGCAGGGCTTCTCGCAGAGAGCTATCCTGACCTTTGCCGCAGGAACAATCATCTTCACCGTGTCTTGTGTTCTCATTGCCTTCACAATGACTAGCGATGGTTGATTTGGGTTGTGTTGGATGCCCCTGGATCTGAATGTTAGCCACTTTTTCCTGGGCTATACTGTTTTCTTGTAGTGTCTTCAGTGTCGTTTGTTGAGGGGAACCATGTTTAAACAACTAGATCCTGGTGGTGCCAGAATTCATGGTTGTTTTGCAGCTGCAGGAAGCTGATGGTTGTCGGTAACATTTTGGTTGCTGTAATCCCCAGTCAAGTAAGTTTTACTTGAACAGAGCTTCAGGCTTTCATTGCTTGAAGGCACTGTAGACTGTAGCACAGCTTATACTATTTTGTAATGAGGTAGGCTGTAGCACAGCTTATACTGTAATGAGGCAGTTCCAAAATTTTAGTGTAGCGGATCCTTACAGCTGCAGAATGGCTGAAATATTCACTAGCACTAGCACAGCTGAGTACCATGTGTGGGTTGTCGTTCCATGGTCGTGTAATTTGATAACAATGACCTTGTGATCGTTTGGGAGTCCCTTTTTGGGTGAAACGGTATGAACTAGCGTTAGCTCTAAGCTAATAAATATGGTGGAGACCGCCTTAAACATCGTGTTGTGAGAGAGAAATGCATCGTGAAGTGTGTGAGACTATGGGCCTCTTTGATATAGCTTATGCCGGCTTTGGCTTTATCTATTTTGCGCAAATCGAGGCACTGTAGCGTGAAACTGTTTTGTAAGCCGGGGTTAAAATGAACTATAAGCCGGAAAAAGCTAGTTTTTCTGGTTTCATCGGCTTTGGCTTTATCGACGAAACCATTTTAGATGAGCCGTGCCAAAGGAGGCTTATCTCTCTGGTCTACGCTAATCTCTTGTCTTTTGCACTATGAATGATTAAAAAATTAATAAGCTTGCTCTAGACCATTAAAGACGTCCTTTGGTTTAATACCAAATGGGTCTGTATTGAAAGGGCTCGTCGAGGTCCACAGGGAAGAAGAAAAGGCCCCGCTGGCTGCTGGATATTTTTCTTGACATAAGGGTAACTCCAACCTATTCCTCAAATTTTGGCCTCCTATCTACTGAAATGAGAGTCCCTCGTCCATATTCAAGCTTCTACTTCTCAACATACTCTAACCAATCCCCTAAAACTTTTCTACTTTACACTATATTGTCATGTGTCTCACTTATTGGTCCCACTTGTCAGCCTTGTAACAAGAGAGGAATGAGGAGTAGGGGAGAGGATGAGGGACTCATACATCTAGGGGTTTAGGAGAGAGAAACAAGAGTGCCTCATCCATCGGGGGTCGGATGAGGCTTCGATTAGAGCTATGTTTTTAAGTCTCGAGCACCTAAAAGAAGGATAGGAGTCAGATGAGAGCTTGGTTGGAGTTGCCCTAACAAACCATTGCTGAGCTTTCAAAAAAAATGGAGACAAGGAAACATCTTACCTAGCATTTGGTTTATCTGCTATTAAAGCTAATGCTTGTATTGCCTGTCGCCACTGCTATAGTTTAGAGGGTCTTTTTCAGGCATAAACATTGTGAAAACATCTTTGTGCAACTGTATGGGCGATCACTACATGAGTAATAGTCTCATTTGTTATGTGGAAAAAGCAAAAAAATGTTGAAAGTTACCAATGTTGTTTAGTGGATCGCTTCAAGAAAATGGGAGATCACAAATCTAAAAGGTGATGCATTACTTTCACGTTTTATCGTTTTCTAGTACCTGAATCCATCTTTTTTCTGAAATATTTAGTCATCTAGCTAGCACTTCCGTTACAGGTAATTCACTCATCAAGCACTCAGGCTTAATGGCCCTGTTCGCTTCTCTTATAATTCATACTTTTTAGCTTATTTTTTTAGCCGGAACCGTGTTTTTCTTTCATAACAAATCAACCGGAACAGTGTTTCAGCTTGTTTTTTCCAGTGAAGCAAATGGGGCCAATATGTATTTTGCCATGGGGACCATATAAATTTTTGGTGTTTATCACATTAACTATCAATACGTCAGACTCATCATTTTGGTAAGCATTCCTGCAAGTCTACTGTTTATGTATTGTCAGTGTACAGAGATTATCATTATGCTTATGAAGTGTGCACTCGGCTCCTTGGTGCTCTAGCTTCGCCCCGGTTCCTAGGCACGCATATGGTATCCTTAAAATTGAGTGCAACATTCCTATACACGTGAAAATGTACAAACTGAGTGAACATGCCGTGGTCAAAGTAAGACATGAAGGGTCTGCTTGGTTTGAGGAATGAGGTGGTCCATCTTTTTTTTTCACTCCTCACTTTTTGTATTTTGGTTCGTGGAATGGAATGAGTTGATCCATCACCGCATCATTCCCTCACAAACTAATAATTAGTATATGCATGAGAAATGGGTTGATTTCACCAAAATTCATGGGATGAACTCGTGAGATGCATCACCTCATGAAGCATGGGGTGACTCCACAAACCAAACACACCAGAAATTTCTAGTTAATGGCCTTCACCCAATGGCACCAAAAATGGTAGTCCCCTCACATGCATGCAGAAGTCAAAGTAATTGGTTGAAGCTAGAAATTCTTTCTAGCTAGTAATGACCTCCCACGAGCGACAAAAATGGCAGAAGGAATACACCCCACACACACGCATGCGGAAGTCAGATTAAGGCCTAAAATTAGAAGCTAACGACGTCAAGACAAACGTGAGGAGGAACATAAGAATATCACAACAGATATGCCCGTGAGGAAGGAGACACTCCTTTGCCCCCCACGGCTGTTGGCGCTGCTCGTGCTTGGTTCATTGCTTGCACCATCACACCAGGAGGGTGACTTCGACAAGTGGGTGACACTGCAGCAGACGACTAATGTTGGTAAATCTGCTGGTGGGGGTAAGGATCCTTAACTCACCTCTGCTGAGTCTAGTAGAGTTAACAATGGGATCGCGCCCAACAACGACTTGGGCGGCGAAAATGGTTACTACAAGACCATCAGTGAGTCCATCGCCAACATCCCCGATAATAACACCACCCGCTATGTTCTCACTCTCCAAGCTAGCACTGTATTTCGTGACAAGGTGTTCCTAAACAAAACCAAGCCATTTGTCACCTTCAAGTCTGATCCTAAGAACCCCACCACCATCGTCTGGAACGACACCGCCACCACCTTGGGCAAGGATGGAAAGCCTCTCGGCATCGTCGGCAGTAGCACTGTAACCATAGAGTCTAATTATTTCATCGCATATGGCGTTGTCGGTGTTTTGAGTTACCACCGCCGAGTAAATTTCTAGTATTGCGCGTCTGGCTCGGATGGTGTGCTTAGAGGACACGAGGTTTATACTGGTTCTGGCAGAAAGTCCCTACGTCTAGTTTGTCGTTGCTGCTCGTGTTACTAGCACTAAAAGTTTGTAGTGGGGTTACAAATGGGCGAGAGAGGGAAATGATCCCAAGTCTCTGGTGGGAGGAGTGAGTGGGTGCTGAGAGCTCGAACGCTACTCAACTGTGTGTTTGGGTCAATCAATCCGGTCCCCTTCATAGGACACCCTACTTTCCCTTTTATAGGCCAAGGGAAAGCACGGGCTACAACGAAGAAAAAGAGAAGAAAGAGAGAGAGAGAGGGAAGAAGGCTGCTAGGACCGCCAGGTCCTTCTTCTCCTTCATGCGGGTCTCGCTGATCTTGTAGACGTCAATAGGGGTAGCTCTACGTCGCAGCCCTATTCATCACTGACGCCGTGCGCAAGCGTCGTCTGTCGGTCATGGCGTCCTATTCCGTCCTGGCGGGCGTCGTGGTGAACTGACATGCCTGTCAGCGTTGGTATGAGGGTTAGGTCGAACAGCATCAGCACGTCCGATGTTGTTCTTGATGTGAATCCTCAGGTATGGCCCGTCATGGCCATGGGTTACATCGAGGCATGCCGGTCTCTTTCTTGGTGTTAGAGTTTTGACCCAGGCCCATACGCTTGGACCTAGAGTGGTTGGCGGCGGTATGGGTCCCCGTCGGGTGAGGTGGAGTCCGCACCCAAGGGGTCGGGCGAGGCGGAGATCGCGACCTCGAGGTCGGGTGAGGCAGAGCCCACACCCAAGGGGTCAGGTGAGGCGGAGATCGTGGCCTCAGGGTCGGGTGAGATGGAGCCCTCCCCCAGAGGTTAGGCGAGATGAAGATCGCGGCCTCAAGGTCAGGCGAGGCGGAGCCTGCCCCCAGAGGTCGGGCGAGACGGAGATCGCGGCCTCTGGGTCGAGCGAGACGGAGCTCGTACCCAAGGGGTTAGGCGAGGCGGAGCCTGCGCACCTAGGGGTCGGTTGGAGCTATAGTGGCGCTCTTGACTGCTAGGATGAATCAATGTTGATGACCATTAGCTCCTCCTCCTCGGGTACGCTAGTATTGGTCCCCGACAGTAGCCCCCGAGCCTACGGAGTAGAATACTCCTTCGGAGGCTTTTCCAAATAGGGGGACTCTGAGGGCCTTGGCCTTCTTTTATCGCCCACGGCGTGTCCTGGGGACGGCGATTCCCTTTCGTCATGATCAGACCCCTTGGGAGTATAGCCGTGAGATTTGGTGGGTCGGAAAGGTCTTTCTTGATTCTGACCCGTACGGGGGTCTATCGTTCTGTGACTACGCATTCGGTCTCCTTACGAGTCCAACTTTCCTCGAGCCCCCGCCCGTAGCAGGGTTTCGGTCGAGGGTCAGCTCGCCTTTGTGATCGTCTTCCCTCAAGCATTTTTCTGATAAAAATGGAGGGGCTGAGTCGTGCCATGATTTTCCTCTATGGACGAATCATGGTGCTCGATGAGCTATTAATGGGCTAGTCCGAGTGGGACCCCAGCATCCCATTCGTGGGGGTCTAGCTTGGGCCAGCTGGTGACCAACTCCAGATTCTCAGCGGTCAATCCATATAGTACTTGGGTCCGTTCGACCGGTCCCGAGGGCTCTCTGCCTTTCTTCGAGGAAAAACCATGGATCGTATCCAGCTGAGACTCGAACATGGGCCGGGATGCCCGCGGCACTCGTGCGCCTGGGTACTGGCCGCTAGTGGGCCCATCCTTTTCCACCCCTCACTCTAAAGGTGCCCGGAGTGGTTTTCAAA